CCATTCTCGCTCATTGTCGTACGCGTTCATGTTTCTTCAATGGTTTCCATTTCCTCCACACTCTGCTCTTGGTGCTTCTTCTGCTGTGTCCTTTTGCTGACTTGTTTTAATTTTGATTTACTTCTTCAGATGGTCTGCCAGATCCATCAAGTCGTTCAGCATGGCGGAATTGGAGGCCCGGAAGCTGAAATACCCCACAACAGGGACGGAGGCGCTGCTCATGGGTCTCTTGACTGAAGGCAAGTCCTACCCGATTTGAGGTTTTGCGCTTGTTTGCATTACACCCTTTTCCTGCTTTTGTTGACAAGTGCGTGCTGCGTTAACGAAAACCAGACACGTCACCAATGACCTCTCTGTAGCAGCAACCTACCATCTTGGCAGGCATTTTGGAGGAGGACCCAATTGCTCGTGTCGGGACTCAGCTACCGTAAGTCGGTGAGTTTCTGCTTTGCAGAGAGTGACACAGCGGGCCCGCATGGAGATGTTGCAAGTGGCAGCTCAAATCGGAGATCTGACGGTTGAAATCGTTCTGAATCTTCTGATGCTATGGTGGGTCTCTGTGTTTGTGTGTGTTTGGTGTTCTCAAGGATGCAGGGACGAGCACTGCGGCACGGTTCTTGAGGGCATATGGGATTACGCTATTCAAAGTGAGGGATGAGACGGTAAAGCTGCTTGGCAAGGCGGACCCCTACTACTTCAGCCCGGAGCACCCACCTCTGACGGAGTACTCGCAGAAAGCGCTGGATTTTGCAGTCGACGAGAAGGAAAAGCAAGGTGAAAAATCAAGCGCTTCTTCTTCACTCTGTTTTTCTTGAAACCTTCGTCCTTGGAATACATTCCAATGGATGCTACTACCAATTTCTATCCCCTGCTTTTGCTGCCTTCCGTCCTCCTTTTGTTGCACCTTTTCTTTTCAATTGGTTGCAAATTGGAGTGGCATTGTTAGAGGCAATCGGGAGGGAGTGCACTGCCCACCCATTCCATATTACTCTGAAGTTAAGATTTGCTCGAGGTCCTTTGAACTCGCGGGCACTCAGTTGAAGTTTGAGCATCCAGGATATGGCTGAAAGTGGGCGCGGAAGGCGAGAGGGTTGGGGGAGTGAACAGCAGGTGGTTGCCTGTGGGTGCAAGGAGAGGAACAGCTAATGGAGCCAGTGGGGGTGGAGGAGGAGGAGGAGAGGAGGAGGAGAAAACTGTGGGGGCACAAATGGATGATATTGCTCTTATTTGCTTGTGGATGCCTGCACTGCTGGGATGGAGAGGAGGAGGAGGAGGAAGAGGAGGAGGAGGAGAAGGTTGTAACAGGCCTAATGTTGATGAGGTGTTTGTCGATTGGTCATGCACACTGCTGCCCAGTAGATGAGTGTAGGACTTGTTGAGAATGAGTGTTTGAAATAACACCACTCCAAGATAAATCTGCGGTCCTGAGGGATATATAGCAGGGAAAATTCAAGCGCTGCAGAGAAGACCAGTACGACCCCTGCGGAAGAGGGAAAAAGGAGGGAAAGAGGAGTAAGTTACAGACATTTTTTCTAGTTATGAAAGGGATGGATGACACATCACGCAACCTTTCATTCTTTCCGAGTTTCGCAGCGCTGTGTCTCTGATTGTAGTCTTATTCTTTGAGCAGCAGATCATACGGCTCCTAGAAAAACGTACTTGGAATTAGCACACCAATCTCTGTTACAATACCATAGATGCCTAAAAAGACTAAAAAATAGCCAACATGAACAGCATCAGAGTAGTCACGCAGACGGGTGATGCTGCTTGATTGGTCGGCTGCCGTCCAGTCGACAGTTCCACTTGTCGGCACCTACTGGTTGGCGGTCGGTCGGCATCCTGCAAAAAAAGAAAAGGGGAAAAAAAAGGCAGTGTCTTTGCGGGGTCCATAACCCACCAATACCTCCATACCCTGCCCCCCTCCCCCAAATACACCGCCCAACACCCCCAAACTGGCCCCCAACACCCTCATACCCCCCTCGTAAACCCCCTATACCCCTCCCATAACCCCCAACCTCAGATTTGGAAAAAAAAATAAAAAAAATTCACCGGATGGTCCTCTACAGAGTGGTCGGCAGACCACTGACCGGTCCGCCCTACTGGTATGCTGCAAAACAGTCTGCTGATCGGCATCGGCCGTCATCGGGTATGCAACCCTGTTCAACTAGAGATAACGCAGATAAGCTTAATCATGAGTTAATTAGCACTACTCGCGAGAATAGTGTCTGTTTTACTATTCCGTTCAGACTTCAAACCATGTTTTTATGAGAGGCTCAAGTAAAGTGCGTTGTCGTTGAGATGTGGGATTGCCTGAAGATTGTTCCGCTCATCATAGTTCCCCGCGAACTTAATCACCCTACCGTCTGGAGGAAAAAGCGGCACACATAGCAGGTTTCTGGACTTAACACGAAGCGCTTTCCAGAGGTATATTGGTAACCACTTAAGCCAGCAGCCAAGCCAGATGAGCCTCAGTTTGGAAGAAATGAAGAGATATTTTTGGAGATCCGTTTTGAGGTAAAGCACCAGGGACTGAACAGGGGAGTGGTTCTGAGTTCAGTTCCGCTGAGCGGAGGAGACGGCGGGGCGGTGGGGGGGCGGGGGGGGGGGGGGGGGGGGGGGGGGGGGGGGGGGGGGGGAAGAAGGGGAGAATGGGGAAGCGGGGAGTGATCTTGGCAACGGAAATCTGTGCCTCACAACTTGTGTCCTCAATCGAAATGCATACAGTGGAGATCTGTGTGCTCCAGTGCCTATTGGGAAAAAAATCAAAATCTCTTAAACATCGGTTGATGAGTTGGTACTACTTGGTAGTAATGCCAGGTCGTTGATTAACAGATCTCTTCGTCCTTGTCTGTGTTTAACTCTCGTGTGTGCCCCTGCTAAGGGAGAGGGCAATTGGCTTTGACCGCCATTGTGTGGGTTCGAACCCCTGACGTAACTCTGTCAACGTGTCTATGCAGGTGAGGATGGAGAGGTGCTGACTGCGCACATGCTGTTAGGCATCTGGGAGCAGAAGGGTTCGGCCGGTCAGCGGATTCTCCTGCAGCTGGGATTCTCCGAGGCTAAGGCAGATGAGCTTAGGAAACTGGTGAGCACATCTCAACTGCATCTGACCTGATCTGTGGGAAATATTCATGTATTTTTTGTAGCCACCAACGGCGCCTAGCTCAGTTGGTACACCCACGAACAGGTACTGTTGAAATATTGAAATACAGACCCAAGTTTTGAATCCAGATACAAGCAGATGAACAGAGTAAAATAATTCTCCATTCCCTGAACCCAGTCAGTTCAATCATCGATTGATTATATCTCAAGGCTTTCGCCCTTCTTGTTTCCAAACAAAAAAAAAAACAAAAAAAAAAAAACTTTTCAGGCTTTCAGCCCTTCAGAGGAATATACAAGCAGTTTGTCAATCATGAGACTGTGCCGCATCTGCGATGCATGGAGTTGCATCTGCGAAACATTTCAATCAGACTGGTTTTAAGTTTGAACCATCCGTGATATATCCCCAGACCTCGTTGGCCCACACAAGGCCTGGTCACATGCCATCTGGGAGACAGGCCTGTGAGAAGAAGCCTGTATGAGAGACGACAACTCCTGAGTGTCCTTCGAGAAAACTTTTCTGAGTGTCTGTCGAGAAACAGGTCGCAAAGACAAAAAAGGCAATGATCAAAAGTGACCTGTGTTTCGAGCATTCAGATAGATGCGAGATTGGGTGTGCCGAAAACAGGTCATGAGTTCAAACCATACACACAAGCACACGCCGTACGGAAAAATTCTGCATGTTCGACGTGCGGTGGAAATATTCACTCAAAAAAAAAAAAAGGGGTCACATGCCTGGGTCAATGGTTACCTCAACTTACCTGCATCCCCTTTGAAGATTTGTTGTGGGATGGAAATAATTAAAAAAAAAAAAAAAAAACTAGTGGGAGAGTAATGCCGCTACCTAAAGGTCAAGACTGATGTTCCAGACGCCTATTTGAGGCTATTTCTGATGCCCAACTGGATGGAAAGAAAAATCTGCTCCTTAGGTGGTGCACGCTTCTGTATCTACAAAAACAGCAAAAAAAAAAAAAAAGAAGGGAAACTGCCGCTGGTACGGCGCACGAGCAGGTGCCGCGCCACACGCCGTACGGCGCACCGTGCGGTTGCTAGTAGGCCTCCAGAATAATGAGGGTGTGAGGGGGTGGCAAACTAAGGAGGAGGGGGGGAGTGGAATGGGGGGGGCAGGGGTGTTGGAAGAGGGAATGGGGATGAAGGGCAGTAGGGGAGGGCGCAGAGGCACTTGGGGTGGTCAGGAGAGCTGTGGAGAGGGATCAGCTGTTCAAGAAGAGGGAGGGGGAGGCTAAGAATGGCGGTTGCACACTCTCCAAAAGTAGGTGCTTGGGCGTCTGAGTTTAATGGCTGTGCATCCAATTGGGGGCTAAGAATGGTGGGTTGCACACTTTCCAAAAGTAAGTGCTTGGGCGTCTGAGTTTAATGGCTGTGCGTCCAATTCCCCCTCTGCAGCTCGTGCAAGGCTGCAACACTAATAAGGATACCTTCCTTGTGCACATCGACAAACCGATGAAGACTAGTTCTATCCAATTCGTTCCAGACACCTATTTGAGGCTATGAATAAGGATACCTTTCTTGTGTACATGGACAAACCGGCTGTAAGGGCCAGGGTGCCCCCGTTGGGGGGCGCATGCCTGGAAATCCAACAGTTCCAGGCATATCTGATTCTCTGTGTGTCGAGCTGCCCTCCCCGACGCGGGCACCCTGGCCCTTACAGCCGAAGTAATGGAAGCTGCTTAGAGTAGAGTAGTTTTCCGTGCAGTGTATGATGATACGATGATGATGATGATGATGATGATGATGATGATGGTGGTGAGGACGATAATGATGCTGAATGGAAGATCTTGATGTTAAGAGCCTCATCTTTGTGTGTATATTGGACGAGAAGATGAACAGAAGATGAGTGGCGGCGAGAACTTGTGGACACGATTGTCAAAAGCAGCCTGTGAATCGCGATTCGTGAGTTTTCAGAGGCTCTGGCCAGCTGGCTACTAGTGTTTTTTGTTAGAGGAGGAGAAAGTGTCCCACGGACTCCTAAGTGCTTACTGTTCACTTTTCATATGCTATTGTGATCCTACTGCTGAGTTCTCCTTCAGAGTATGATGTGTCTCACGTATTCCTAAATGCTTCATCAACCCCTTCGATATCCTACTGTGCCAAGCATGGATGCCACCCCGTGTAAGGAAGAAGCAAACATGGTGCTTGTGTGCTCACCCCCTTTGCCACAGGCTAAATCACTTGACTGGCTAGATAGAAGTAGTCGATTTATGTCCTTCCGGACATCCGTTAGAGTTGGAATGATACAGAGAAGATTAGCATGGCCCATGCGCAAGGATGACACGCCAAAAAAAAAAAAAAGTCGGCAATTTCTGTATACTCTGTTGAAATATGTTCTAGAACTCAAGACAGAAAAAGTATTCCCCGCAACATCCATTCGATTCTCCACGACCCCCTGTGCAGCATACTTTGGGTTCGCCGAATGAGAAAGTCGGCTTGTCCCTCCTGGCAGGTCGTGGAAGGTCTCGACGCTCAGTTTCCATCCCGTGCTAGGTGTTAGGAGCTTGGGTGCTGCTCCCCGCACAGAGCAGAGTTAGGTAGCCGTAGACCCATAACTTTAGGATAGCTTAGGCCTAGCTAGTAGATTTATAACCGCAAGTACACGGCCCCAGCCTTGCAGAAAGTTTTTGTCGCCACAAGCAACTCGGAGGGGCTGCACGGCGTGGGGGGGCGTTGAAAAAAAAACTGGCGGCCTCCGAAGTGGTGCGGGTTTCGTGCTGACACCCACAGGCCGATGTGTGGTGTACTCGTGCTTTAAGGTTGGTCCTCTGTCATGTAGGGTAGTCCTTAGCTGGTAGACTTAGGGGGTAGTATAGTCGGCTTCGCCTTCCTTAGTCTATGACCCTAAAAAACACAAGTACGTAGCTCGGGGTAGGTAGTGTGAGATTGAAAAAATGCATTGAGAGAATAATATAGTAGTAAAACAATGCAGCTGTCCCCCATATGAGGAGAAGGCAGCTTGCATTTATATATATATGCCAGCGGCGTGTCTGGAGTGTATTTTTTGGCTGTGACAGACCTTTCTTTGTTTCGTGGATGTTTTGCTGGCTTGATGGGGTGTGAACCGACAGTCTGTGGAGTTTTCCATCTGGTGTGGGTGAGTGATAGTCTACTTTGATTTTGGTTAAGGTAGATTATCATTTACAGTGTAATCAGTGAGGGGATTCTGCAGACTGTTGAGGGTTCAGCCTCCTGA